CTGTGTATGTTGAACTTTTATCACCTGTCTGGCCAAAGGCTGGTCCTCTGAAATCCTAGCCCCCTGTACTGTAGTCGTCCATACAGACACCGACACCTGACGTCGGTTCACTGGAGTGATGCAATCCATCACAAGTGTAACACAAAGCAGAGCCACTCAGTCCAGGACTGCTGTCCATCACACACACACACACACACAGACACACACACACAGGACAAATGAAAACTCCTCTGATACTTGGGTCTAAAACAGGGACATTTTACAGTTGGAGATTAGTGGATTAACTACTGTAACTGACTGAAGTTAACTGAAAATTCAATAATTGTTGTACTTTAACTGTGAAATGTGACTGTTTTGTATTTGCTGCCCCCTATCTTCGATCGAACACAATTTCACTGTAAAGCCCAATTAATAAAATAATAATAATTAGTGACATGTTATATAACAACAACACTTATTACTGATATATTGATCAGTGCTGACGTCACTCTGTGGAGGGCAGTTAAAGAAAACAAGGTGAATAATTCAATCTGCGTCTGAAACAGAACATGTTGTGATGTTCTCACAGAGAACACACTGCTGTGGAGTTTGGCTGCACCCCCCCTCCACCATCACCCCCCCACCACCACCACCCTCCCTCCACACCCATTCACTCGCATGAGAACTGGAGCAAGTGAAACTAAACAAAAATGTTAAGCTCTGAACCCTTGGTTATCTAATGATACCTGGGAACAACAGGAGAAATGAAAATAAAAACGTTCTACGTTCTACTGCCTCCTCGGTTCCTATCTTCCCGACACCTCACAATCTCTGCCCTCCGCTCCTCGGTATCTTCGTCTTGATCTTCTCTCCCTCTCTGGTCTCTTTGTCCCCCTCTCTGCTGGGTGAGTATGTTTTGTTAGGGAGGGCTGATTCTTCATACTTGGCTGCAGCTTTATGGACAATAAAGATCTGATTTCAAAGTCCGGCAGGGTGTTGGGCCTGGGGTCTTGGCTCACAGCTACAGTTGCATGCTGGGAGGAGACAGTGCACAGCCCCTAACCAGATGGCCATCGGCCCACTTACGTTAGATTCATATTGTACATTATGTGCATTGTTCACATTCTTGTCTGCGTGCAGCCCCGCACTTCATCACCTCGGTGTCGGTGTCACCCACTTTCACATGATCCGGGTTTTTGTTCTCTGATATTATTGGGTGAATTTATGGTGATGATCACGGTACAGAGGTGACGTGAGCTTCAGCTAAAATACACCATGAACACTGACAAAAAAAATCTGGTTTAAATACAAATGACATTTTCTATATTTCCAATCACCAAACACCAAATATCAAATGAAGGTTCTTTGTCAAAACAACTTGTTTTCTATTTGAATACATCATCAAAAAGAGAAAATTACATTTTAAAGAGACTTAGAGGTCTAAACTCCTGGCCCAGGGGTCCAAATCTGGCCCACAAATCATCCATATTTGGCAGTAGCTCAATGTCAATAATAATTTAATTTTTTCCAATTATTAAAATGGAAAAAAATCCTTTTATAAAATACACAAATGGAAAAAAATCCTTTTATAAAATAAAAATAGTAGACGAAAAAAAAACAACTTTTTAAGTTCCCATATTTGTCTGTCTGAATTCAACAGCTCAAAGCTAAACATCAACAATCAATCTTTACAGATCACACTCTGACTTCTGATAAGTAACAACATTGAAGTGAAAATCTCTCTTGTTAAAAACCAGGATAACAGGCCACCTCCACTCAGACGGGCCATCTGCCTAACCTGGAACGTGACCCTTGACCTTTTTGCTGTGGGGCAAATGCTCACCATCATATCACCTGAAATGACGGAACTGATTTTGAGAGCAGAGGTGAGGGTTGATTTTCTGCGTGACACACAGTGACTTTTTAAATCTGACTTTTTTTAAAACTGACTCCACAGAGTTCGCCTGGTCGTGTCAACGTAACCAAACACGTGACTAACTGAAGAGTTCAAGCAGAAGAGCCAACGAGGTCGTCCGTGAAATGTTTCGCACAAGAAGGATATCTTCTAGAGTGACATTTTTTCCCCTGGGGGGCGCCAGAGTACTTTAAGGAAGACACAAAACAAAACTAAAATAATAAAGACAGGTGCTGGACAACATCTACACCAGAAAACTTCATCAGTGTGTCGTTCAGCACAAAACAGCTTTTAAGACATAGTGAGGGATGAAACGGAGCAGAGAAAACGTACTCAACGTAGACCAGACCCCTACTGGACAGACTACTTATCACAGCTTGGAAAATGGTTTACATTAGTGGCATATAAACAGTTTGTTTAAATTAAGTCCAAGTTACAGACTTGAACAAATTTGAGAATCGAGGGAATTTTTAATTTTTTTAATTTTTTTTTTTGCATTAAGAAGGACAACCAAGAACCTAGAACCGGGGTTTTAAGGTTGAGAATTGTTCCATCTTCTTCCCTCTGGTTCTCATGATGTTAATAATAAGGATCGTGACCCATTAACGCCTATGTAATCACAGGAGTTCTGTAACTTGTTTATCCGCCTGACTTACATTGTAATCACCCCAGTCAGTGAGGGGATGTGTGACGTGTGGCTACAGCAAATATAACACATCTGTGGTGACTTAGTTCAGAGATGTAAAAGAGAACGCCCTGATAAATACAGGAGCATCGGCCCGCGCTGCCAACACTGCATTTTTTCACTCCTTAAACTTGTGATATTGGTTTTCGCGCTGCTTGACGTTTAGTGGTAGAGGAAGACAAAATGGCAGGAGTTAAACAGCAATTTGTTCATGACAAGATAACAGTTGGACTTGATCTCCCACAGCATATGTCCCGTGTGTCAGACATTTTTATTATAATTCTCATGTTTCATTTGGCATCTTGAAATTACAGCTCTTGGTGTACGGACAAGTTCAGTCAAACTTTTTTTTTTTTTTTAACACCCGTTCACAAGATACTGTTACACTTTATCACACCTGGCTGGATAAGATTTAGTGTCAGAAGAGAGATGTACTGAGTGAGGGGAAATATTTATTTCAACATGTTTGTGTTTGAAGCTCTGTCAAAAAAGTGGCTTTTTTATTTTATTTTAAACAGAAAATTAAATTTGGATAAATCTGTTTTTAATCAGTTTTTTATTTATTTACTGTTTTTATTTCAAGGCTCCAAAACCTTTGTATTTGGTCTTCCACCACCGGGGACACACTACAACCACACTGTGGAGCAGTCAGATAATAAAAAAAGAAAAGAACGTCGGTTCAAATCCTGACCCCAGCGGTGGTATTTGAGCAGGCACAAAAAACCCAAATAAACTCCCACGGTAAGAAACGTTTCCCACGACTCTGTGTAACGTATGCATTAAATGCAGAGAATAAATTTAACATCACTACAGTGACTGACACAGACACAGACGATGACATTTAAATTCAGTGAGATACGAAAACTGCTAATTGGAATTTAAATTCAGTGAGATACGAAAACTGCCGAGTGGAATACTTTATATTACTTTATATTACTTTATACTGTATATACTGTAGGTAGCTACAGTTCCCTTGGAAATGGAGAGGACATCACAGTGACCACTTAAATTCAAAGTGATCTGTCTGTGCTGTTTTGGTGTTCAAACTGACGTCACTGTATATATATATATATATATATACACACATATTGTATATATAAAACTCAAGGAAAACAGACATAAAATTAAGAAAACTAATACTGAACAGAGAGCACAGAGTCCTTGGAGCTGGACACTGAAATAAAATAAAATGATAAAAATCACTTTTTTGTCTAACATTATTGTTTGATGTTTATTTTGTAATCCACATAATCACAGACCGCATCTAATGGTTTGGTGGACTGAGTTAGGCACGCGAGCCACCAGTTGATTATCACTGGCCTTTATCTTCCTGTTGAGACACAAGTGCGTTCAACCTAACCTGCATTCATTTTACATTTTCAGTCATTCTGTGACTCCCGTCCCACAGGTGACAGCGTCTGTAGGCGGCTGTTGTGTTTTGCTTACAGTATCTCATACTGTACATGCACCGCGTCACCACTTTGGAAAACCTGACACAGAAAGGCTCGTCTTTCACAGGAAAAATATCACGAAATAATCAGTTGCAATAACTTGTGGTTTTCCTTTGGGTCTGTCATTGATAGAATGGAAACACATCGGTCCGGACCGTGAAGTCTTCTCTACCTCCCTCTTCTACCCAGGAAAAGCTAACAGGCCTAACCCCTGTCCCGCCACACCTGTCACACACACGCTGCACACACACACACATTCCCCTTCTCACACTGCTTTCATCTGGGTGTGAAATGGATTCCTACTGTCTGCCAGAATGCACCACCTATCTCTGGATACAATTCTCTCACTCTCCTCTGTTTTCTTTCTTTCTCTGTGCCACACGTGTGTCCTTTGTTTCCATGCCTCGCCCACGCTGTAAAGTCCACACAACGCATTCCCTGGCGATTAGGGTAGAAAAAAAAAAAAAAAAAAAAACCTGATTAGAAACCCCAGTGGAGCTAATATTTTATATGACAGGCTGAATTATATCCAAATCAGAAACACATGATGGTCCTAACCTTTTTTTTTTTTTTTAAACAAACCACAGTCATCCCTGGAATCCCCGAGAGAAAGGCATGTTCATAAAATTCCTCCATAACCTAACCTCACGCACACACACACACACACACACACATTTAAAGTGTGAGCGATATTGTAAAATGAAATATTGATACCTCGCTGCCACATGATTTTACATGTCCACCAGCACAAAGTCTGTTCTTATAGAGCGCGCAGCCTAAGCTATGCAAAATAACAATCTTGTCGCAGCAAGTAATGAAAGTAAAGCCTGTTCCAGGAAACTGCCTCCTGCCTGAAAATGACTGCAATCTGTCAACAACAGCATAATGTTCCGTGGTTCAGATGCAGCGTATCCTGCTTTACTTGTCTCACTCGACCGGTCCAGCTCGGGCTCAATGACCCTGTCATAATTGGACACATACTATTTGGATTACAACAAATTGCAGGCAATAAGAGCGGAGCAGATGAGCATTTAGCTGGAAGAGCAGACGGTAACGCTGCAGAGAGGCGATGATAAGCACTTAAAACTTGAAAGTTCAAATTAAATGGTAACAGATCACAAAGGTCTGACATACTGCGCTGGAATTGCCAGAGGAATTTGAAGGGTTCAAGAATCTCCGCCGCTCGTGCCATATTTACAGACAAGAAGGAAGAAAAGAGCAGGTTCTCAAGGCGTCGCACAGTTTTTTTGCACACTTTTAAAGGATGATTATTTTATTGTGCGGGAATACATTCCAGTACAATTAAATCAACCTGTTGCATCCACGCAGTAATGGTTTTAATTAATAAAGGTTTTATTCTCTGACCCCAGGTCATAACCTGCTCTGAGGACTGAAGAACAGTTTCTTTCAAAAGTGGGAAAATTGGGGAAAAAAGTCAAAATCAAACGGATAAACTCCTCAATTATATTTGAGACATTTGAGACGAGGGAGAAACAAATCCAACTTTTCAGTCCCAATACTGATACCTGGGCTGGTAATCTGTGACAGAAAATCACAGATCACTGAAATAAATGTGCACCAGTAGCCACCTGGAACGGCATTTACAGTGAACGAGGATCAAGGATACACAAAAGAGACGAAATACACAGTAAAATACATCAGTTGGAACAGAACAAACCAGCGGCTAATCTAACTTTATTCAAATAAACAGGAATTAAACTTGTTTGTCAAACATTCCCTCAAAATCCACAGTAAAACAAAACAGTTGAGAATAAACTGAACTAATCTAAACTCAGTCAAATGAACAGAAACTGTTTGACTTATCCTCACATGTGAGTTTGATCACATGACGTCTCCTCAACCAGATCATGTCAGAACAGCTGATCGTGACAGGCGACGACCAGCGGTCAGAACTGTGAGGGTCAAAAATATATATACATATATATTTGTTACCATTTTGTGACCTGGAAATCCTCCTAGGAAATATAACTGAGCACATATGACACCATCCTCCACTGCACAGAGATCGTTTTCCAATTTGAGTAAATATGTTGTCATTTACAGTTTACAGCTAGCAAATGACCCAAATATTATAACTAAAATAAATACATTTAAAAACTATATATCAATTTAAAATAAATGAATAAAAACAATTTACCTCAAAAAATAAAAATTCAAAACAACCAAAGTAGAGCCTTATCACAGACATCCATCAGTGTCAGAGACATTAGTTCACATTATTCATGAGGAGCAGCAGTGAAACAGGCAATGACATGTACCTCAGAGTTAGTACATTAGTTCTTCACCTGTGATTATTAGACAACATGAAGGATGACAAAAATAAAAGTTACTGCTTAATGGGATTCAAAGGTACAGCACAGTGTGTACCTCTTTCTGGGGTTTATTCTATTTCTGTGAGCCGTTTCCAATGGAAACAGGATATCAGTGGTTCAACCCCCGAGTCTGTTTGTGGCCTTCAGTGTCTGCTTTACTACAGCTCCACAAATGTAAGTTTTTCCATTAGATGTTTCTCCAAAAAAAAAGTGATATCATTTTTACTCATTCCTCCACTCCCCTCACACACACACACACACACACACAGAGCCGGAGTGACTATTCAGTGTGATTCATCAGTGTTGCCGGCAGAACAGTAACTTTATTATAACAGATCTTATCTGCTCTGCCCTGTTCACCATTTGAAAGCCCTGGGTATCTTTAGTCTTTCTTCTCAGGCCAGCTCTTGCCAGAGGGCTGCTGGTGTTGTTTGCAGAGATAGAGAGGGCCAGATGGACACACACACACAGATGGTCTTAGAATGAGAAGTAGTTGACATTTGGATCAACTTTGTTTCTCACCAAATACAGAATTGTTTTTTCTCTGAAAAAAAAAAACAGGAGCTGTGGGGCAATTAACTTTAAAACGGAAAAACGAATAAATAATAAAAAACAAATATAACACCATAAACTGATTAACCTCAACTCAGGTCACTTTAATGTGACCTAGATCCTCATAACAAAATAAAACAAGGATGGATGTCATTAACAAGTGTTAATAATCTCATATGAGAGACCAAATTGAATTCCATTGTATTATTGATATGCCGTAAAATGTGGATTCTGGTCCGTCTGTCTGTCGTGAACACGTTCAATACTAATCGGCAGCTGTTAGTGTAACACAACCACTCGCTGCTTGTGTTGTCTGGTGAGCGTGAATGAAAATAATCTGAGCTGTGAAAAAAAAAATCCGCCGCTAGTTTTTTGCGTCTACAGCACCATCTTGTGGTGGTTTATACTAAGACTGCGGCAGATGCAAGTCGTCGTCGTGGGACAGTTAACAGTAAAAATGGCATCATCTATGAGAATTGATTTTGCACGTACTGTAAGACTGTAAAGTATGTAGAAATAAAATATATATACACATATAAAAACATATTTTTTTACCAATTTATTTTCTTTTTCACTTTTTCTAGTCGGAGGCAGGAAACTTCAGACACAATTAATTGAACGCAGAATCTGCAGCTGACAGGTCTGCAGAGGAAACTTCAGACACAATTAATTGAACACAGAATCTGCAGCTGACAGGTCTCATACCACACCAACCAACCACAGGCCACTGTTACTGGACTAGACGATGTCCAGGCTCCGCTAAGAGAGGATGTGGTCACTGAATTGGCCGAGTCGTTCAGAGTGGACGGGGCCAAGGGATGAGCCACTTCACTGACAATGTGTTGAATTTGGCTTGGAGGGAACACAGCTCTGTTCTCAAACTAGTGAAATGGTGCCAGCATGTTTCTGGCAGGAGGAACACAGAAGTGACACAGCTCTGTCCCCCGAGTGTGTGACCAATGACAGGGCTCGTCAAACCCCCAGATGCTCCACAATAAACACAGTTCTACTGATAAACAGTAACATTTCGTATGAAATTCAAAAACAACATTAGGGATTTTGTGACAGACCACTAAAAATGAATTAGTGGGCATATTTCGGCCCGCAGGCCTTAGGTTTGATTGTTGTACTCCAGATTACTCATTTGTGTAAAACAGACATAACGAATGACAGCAGTGCAACTCACTCATGATCCAGGTCTGCCGGTGAAGTCCAAAGAAAACCCATGGTTGAAGGTGTTAGCAAGGTAAGCTAGTTTCGTGAACATCAAAGTTAATTAGCTGTTCGTCGCTAATCCGCCACTTAAAATCTCATATTATCGCACGGTTACAGACTGTGTGAGTACGCGTCTAACTTGGCGCAAAGATAACATCTTGATATATCATCCCACCATTAAAACGTAGTTTTTACACTTCACGACATCGCGCGGATGAAGTACCTTCATTGGGGCAGATTCGGCAACTGGCGTAGGTTCCTATCTAGTAACACCAAATCGTATTAGTGGTGGAAACGGGATGTCGTTTTGATTGGCTCACCATATGACCAATCGCCTGTAAGGATGGGACGTAGAACGGAAGCGGTAGGCCAGGGGTAAATAGAAGTTTCACGGAAATAATTAAATTAACCTTAAAATAAAGCAACGTCTGGTCACCTTTTTATTAACATTGGAGACTGCGGAGCTGAGATACGTGTAAAAAAACTTAAAGCATCTACTGTACATCACAAGAATGTTTAAACCGTTCAGTGATATCCGGAGGAAACCAGCAGTTCGAGCTTTTCAAAATAAGAGTCTTACATTCATTTTGTCATACAATTTTTTAGTCTTTAATTTTCATTTACCAATGTCATCATTTAAACGGTGATAAAGTCGACAGAGAATTGTTAAGTTGTTATTGTTTAGTGTCTATGACATTAGGACGTCAATCCTTTTTGCTGTTCTCCATCTTGGTCAGGGTCTTGGAAATCCTCCTGGTTTAAATGAAATATTCAATATGTTAAATTATGATTCATGCAGAATTAAAAGAAAAAAAACCCACTTAAATTATGATTCATGCAGAATTAAAATAAAAAATAAAACCATATCACCACATAAGAGTGAATCAGCATATCTGTCCTTACCTGTTAAAAGCAGGTGGTAAACTAATGGCGCGTGGGTGCGCTGTGAGATCCAGCTCTCCTCTGACAGCTTCCATCATCAGGTTTTGGAGTGTGTTCAACAAAACATTTTTACTCATTTCAGCCATCGCTCGGTTCTGAAGGAATTGTGGTTGGAGTTTGTTTTCTATATGATTCGCTGGTTTGCTCAGCTGTTCCAACGTTGTGTAGTCTAACTCCTGAAGAATATTCCTGGAAAGGAAGGGAAATCTATGACGTACCAATGACAAAAACATACAATTACTGTCTACAATTTTTAGTTTGATTCATACTGTTTTACCAGAGCATGGTGTTCAGTAGGTCCACCACCAGTTCTTTCTCAGGGTGTGAAGTTATGGGAAATAAGTTTTCAGATGGAGGCAAAGGTGGCTGCATGCACCTGAGGTAGATGACAAAAAAAAAAGCACAAAAAAAAAACCTTATCATGTAGCACATTTGACTAAAGTTTAAAAATACGCTGCTTCAAAAATGTGTTGTTTTGTTTTTTTACACAAATGGTAACTAACGGTCCTTCCTTATTCTCTGTTGTCTCATCATATCTTTCTAGAATGATGAAAAAGTTCCTGTTTTTAAATGATAACTGTTAAAGACTGAGCTCATCGACACAGTCAGGAGCGTAGACCGTGGTGACGTACTGCTGGAGCCTGTGGGACAGCGCTGTAACCTCCAGATGCAACAGAGAAGGAAGCGGGGGTTTAGGCTGCCTTTCTAGTTTTGCTTTCCTCTCCCGTTCGGCCCGAGTCTCCTTCCTGTCTGTGATGGTGAAATCTTCCTCCTTTCTCCTCATTTCTTCCTCCCAGCGACGCAAAGCTCTGAGATACTTATTCTGTTCTACTTCCAAGACAACCTAACGTGACGGAGAGGAGTCAGAAAGAGAACACGGTGTGGTGAATATTTAAATATTAATAAAAAAAAGTCTTAAGTTTTATGTTTCTTTACACAGTGCTGTACCTGACAAACCACATCAAGCTGGTAAATCGTAGGGTAGTCAGTGGAAGTGAAGGTGACCACACACAGGGCACTTTCCCCTGGAGACACACTGCCCTGCATTGGACGAATCTGCACCACCTGACAACAAATCAGAATCAGCCGTTAGTCCAGGTCAGATTATCAGAGTCGCACGTTCAAATAGTGGTACGTAGCCATACTAATACAATACACTTCACTGTACTACAAGATAGTACACTACAGTATACCTCCTGTTTGTTCTGCTGGGGCACCTCCCATGTGTACACCATGGAGTCAGTGGGCGACACATTTGTGAGGAACAGTATTGTTGAGTACTGTGAGCTGATGCAGATGTTGCCGAGGGAGATGCTTTCCTCGGACATAAACAACACCTACAGACAAGGAGAAAATACAGAGACAGAGACAGAACTGGTCTCAACCGCAGGTCTAAGAGTACTTGACTGGTAAAGAACAGACTGTTGCTACAAAGAAAGGAATTGAATAAACATAACAGAGATCATAACAGCTGCTCTCACCTGTCCTGGAAAAGGTATCCTCTGGACACAGGGTAAAGGTGCTTCAACGTCGCTGCAGTAGAAGGTCTCTGGGCTGTCAGCGATGTGTGAAGCAAATCCAGTTCCTTCAAACGTCAGCAGTGTCGTGTCTCCATCACGGACGTGAATAGGTATTTCCATCTAATGAAACACAAATGGGAAACATGCAGAAAGTAACAACAGAGACAGGAGTTTCTGAACCAACAGGTGAAGTTTCAAAAAACACCCTGAAAGACGTATGAACGGTGGGGATGAGACGTACGCTGTACAGTTTCGCCTCTAGAGGAGAAAAGATCCATTCCACCATGGCGGACTGTCCAGCAGGGACGTGTCCCTCTGGATTGAGGCAGGTCAACACTGCATGGTTGAAGTTGTCCATCTGAAGCTTTAACAGCACATCTGTGTCCACTTCATAATGCACTGGCAATGCACCTGTGTTCTGTAACTTCAACACCTGCACCATGAACAAAAACAAAGTCACCTGCTCAAACATCCACAAAGACAGCACTAAAGTGGACTCTAAACCAAATGTCACATGATTTAGTGACAACTCTGCACTGCGAGTGTATGCCAGCCTGACAGTATGCTAAACTGAGCTTAAAGTTGACGTGTGAAAATTTAGAATCGCTATCAATTAGGCAAACGATAAACATTACATTATATAAAATAAAGCTAATTTAGAATAAAATCATTTCACACACCTGCCGTGGAGGACAACTGTTGGCAATAGAAACTGCAGTGAGGACATGTTTGTTGGACGAATAGTGGAGATAAGGTTTGTCTCTGTCCACCGTCAGGCCCTTGAAGATGAGCTGTGCAGAAATGTGTCACAAATGTAAAAAAAATAAATAAATATATAAAATCTGTAACAGAAGTGTGATAATTAAGTGAGTTTAAAGCGGATCCTCACCAAGATCTCTCTTCCATGACACTGTGTGAACACAACAGGGATCCGGTTCATCCCAACAACATTATGGCTAAAGGGGAGAAGCTGCATTTATTTAACACGTACCAACCAACCAACCTCCTACTGCCAACACCACTGCATTCCAATCGCTCTGTAAAACCAACTGCCTCCTATGGTCTGAATCCTACCTGTAGCAGAAACGCACTGCCTTCTTTTGGCCTGGGAGCAACGTGCCAGAGAGGGGAGAAATGCTGAACAAATTCTTGTTTTGATCCTGTCAATAACATAGAGAAAATAAATCAATTCAAATTCAAATGAATTTAACTGCTCTTGACCATAAAATAACACTCGACAGTTAAACACTACTGACCTTCATGTCAGTTAGCTCGCTGCTGCTAAATGCACCGGTTTCCGTCCAGTAGTCCAGCTGGGACATTTGTTGTCTGTCTGGAAACAGGAAGCCCCTGATATTTTTCAGAAAAGTCATAAATATTAGAAAGAGTAAAGTCCAGCCAGCAGTAATTTCGTTTTTTTTTTTTACCAAAACATTGATAATTAGGTGTTCAAATGCTTGAGAAATGGTTCTCAAATGATGGTCCACGTACCACTGGTGGTACTTGGGTGACCTCTGATCCCTATTTTCAGTAGATGAGTCATTTAGTTTGTAACCAGTATGTAGGCCCATGTTTGGGCTGCTGTATTTTAATGTCAGTCACAGTGGTGACACTTGGTAAATAAAACGTTGAGGACCACTGCCCTACAGACCTGTGCTGTTTTGTGGTACAGTCATGTTTGCTCACCAATCAACAGGGTAGAAACCAGGATTGTGAAACATCAGCAAAAACGAGGAGGGAGCTGCGTTCATGGGAGCTGCGTTAAAGTTGAAGTCAAAGATGGTGCAGTCGGTGGTGGGAATGTTGCCCAGACTGGGGAGAGAGTAACCGATTGGTTAAATATATTTCTCTATTTAAGGACATGCCAACCCCCCCTCCGCCCCCCCGGTGTCGTACTCCTGACCAGTGCTTGTTGGGGATTCCATAAGTGAGTTCGGCAGCAGTGGGGATGGACAACAGTTGGCTGTTGAGACCGTCCAAAGACAACAGTTTCCAGAGGGGCCTTTTTTCCATTCTGTCGATGCTGCCACAGCCATAGACATCAGTGACCTGGAGGGTGGGCACCACACCCCTGACCCGCACTTCACACAGTTCCTGTAGAGGGCAGACTGCACAGTCTGGGAGCAGAGATTCATACAGTACGGAAGTTTAGATAAGTTATATAAAAGCTGAATTATTATTGTGTGTTTGTCTTTTTACCACTGGCATTCAGGGTCTGGTAGCTGATTTGACACAGGTACTGGGCTCTTCTGTATGGTCGGACTGTACACCGCAGCAGCATTGTGGAGTAAGGGGCAATAGTTCCTCTCCCACAGTCCAGCTGAAGAGCTGTAGTGACATTCAGTATTTATTTTTATTTCAATCAGCCGTTGTATTTTATCCATTTCAGAAATGGTTAGCGTAGAGAATTTTGTACAAATTTCATTTTAAAATAATCAAATTTTGTTGTTATAAGGTCTATCTAGGCAATATGAAAATATATTTTCTCTGCAATATTTCTTAATGTTGTTGCATTATTTGCATAACTGCATAAACAAATCTGTGTAGCATTTTTCTCATCCCAAGATTGTATAACACCAATAACTCCACCAAAATCTGAATCTAAATCTGATGTCAATAATGGTAACAAATATATAAGATCATTTTTAAAACGTATTTTGATTTTCTTTTTTTAGTGTTCTGTTCCCTACAAGAACCTACCCACTGGTTCAGTCTCAGGATCGTACTCCAGATCCTCGTCCAGAAGTGTCTGGTGTACGGAGAGACAGAAGGACAGGGAGCAGGGACTGTTGTTGACCAAAGGAACTTCAACAGATGAGGAACTTCCAATGAGGGTCTCCTCAACATCCAGGACTGTTTCCATGGCCTGATAAGGAACCAGAATTAAGAACAGAACACAGACCAAGGGTCTCCAACTATATTTGTCTCAAGGCCTGAATTCTTCTGGACACACACCTTGAGGGCCAGAAAAATTAGGATGAATGATTTTGATAATGATTACTGATAGTTATTTCAGTCTCAGTTGTTGTTTGTTTGTTTCAGTTGCTTTTTAGAATCCAGTCATGGGTCGGATCAGACGTTTCAGGGTTCCAGATTGGGCCTGCAGGCCACCAGTTGATAATCACTGACGTATACTATATGCAGATAAACTGTACCTCTATGAAGCCTTCAGCACCTGCTCCCACAACCTTTAGGGTGAGATATGATTGGCTACGTCCGTCACTTTGGACCGGCCAGAAAGTCACCGTAGGTTCTAGTGTGTACGTGTTCTGCAAAGGTGGACGAAATGACCAGGTCTGGACCTGTAACAGAATATGTGATATCAACAGCTTAGCCATGTGTAAGAGTACATATTTTACAGTACGTGTACATGAAGTACAAGCGTTCTGTGTGTGTGATTCTCTTAATCTCACACCGAGATCTCATTAGGATTCAGTTCTCCAGCATCTGGCTCAACAGAGATAAGCTCCTGGTCCTGCTCTGGAATGCTCCACTGGAACCTATCAAAAAAGACAATCACAGAGGTGGAATGCTCCACTGGAACCTATCAAAATCACAGAGGTTCAGCTGTGGCCGAGGACGATTAACTCTGACTAGGTCAAAGTCAAAAGATGGAAGTCTCAACAATTACAGGACTAAAGCAACAGCGTTAAAGAACTGACCGAAGAGGAATACAGCTGAGGTTCCTCATGTTGTGGAAGCGTCGACATATGGAGCCGATAGATGTCGGTGGAAAATTCAATCTGCAATCTCCATCCAGAAACAAGTTGAGCTTTTCAATCGCACTGACAACCATGAGCTCCTAACAGGGGACAGAAGAAGATGGACATCGTAGTTAAACCTAAAAGATCTGCATGACTTCTGACAACGCCCTCTACAGTTGACGTGTGTGAAATGTTTGTAGATTGTACCTTTGTGAATTTGGCTGCATTGAGCTGCAGCTGTAAACCAAAGCCCTCGTTAGGACTGTCCTCAGTGGGCTTAGTTCTGAGAGTCAGGATCTGGTAATTCTTGGGCTGAATGAGGCCACACTTTGGAATAACAGAAACCGATTCTGTCAAGGCATTTTTTGAGCTGTTGTCCAGAGAGAAAGTGAGGGGCAAGTCGCCCATATTCCTGAGGAGCACCATACGATAGGACAGAGCGTTCAGTCCTGGAAACACCTGTAAGAAAAAATGTCACAATTAGACGTTCCAGATTCTTGTTTTTATAACCTTGGATGGACAAAATAGCTTTACAGTGATCCCACATTTTAGTCCTCAAAAAGGTTTGTCCTACACACCAAGGGGAGGTTGAAGTGAATGTGACCCTGGTCACCAAAAACCTCCATCTTATTCAGTTTATACCTTATATTTCTTTTGTTTGTAAATGTAAACAAACAATTAAAAAAAAAAAAAAAGCAAGTCGGATTGTCTCACCACATAAGGGGGCTCCAGTGAGCAGGAAGGTTCAAAGGGTTTGTGTGTCGGCTGAAACGAGTGTCCGATGACTCTCACCGTCATACACCAAGAAGGACAAAACAGTTGGTCCATCAGGTCAGGATCATCCTACGGGCCATGAAGAAGTTAGAAGATTCATGGACAATATCAAATAAACATTTACTGTCTAGACATGGAAACAACGTTCTTCCTGTACCATTTTGTGAAATGCAAAGCATTCGAGCTGTGCTCCATGCAAAGTGTTAGGCTCCTTGGGGTCATAGGTCACCCTGAAGGACGTGGCTTTGAGTGGAGCCAAGTCCTGCGAGACCGGGGAGATGGAAAACGGCGAGTCCTCGGCAATAGTCCACACCAGACTTAGAGAGACACAAGCGACAGAAAGTGGATTCAGTCAAAACAACGGTCACTACAGCAGGTCCACCTGGTCTGTACTGCAGTACAGGTACCTGACTTTCTTTCTGGTGTGGTTGGTGATGGCCACAGACTGAGTGGAGCTGCATGACGTTACCACAGATTTGGTCGTTTTCTGATTAAACAGCAGTTCACTGGGTGCCACGCACACATGTGGAGACGGAATACATCTGGTGTAACACTGGTAGAATTCGTCCATGGGAGTTTTTAACACACTCCTGATTCTGTGCAGTCTCTGATCACACTGCAAAAACATCAATCAACATCAACAGAAACATATCAATACGTAAATAATTTCCCATGTATGACGTAATGATGTGGATGGTTCACTGACAGAGTCTGGAGGTGGGACCACAGGAGCAGGGTTCTCCTCAGAGTGACAGCTACCGTTCAGGTCAAGGAAGAGAGGATCCTGGAAAGGTAAGGAGAGGATCATCATAAAACTAATCTGCTCTGAGAGACAGTGCTGACTGAATACTAACTGAATATTTATACTCACCCCATGAAGTATGAGACATGTCACTCTCCTGTAGTGAAAGATGGTCTGTGTTGGCCTGTAGACCACTGTCAGTTTAATGTGGTTCTGTGGCTGCACAGTGCCACTTGCTGGTTGTATAGTGAAAACACTGTGGCCATTAAAGTCAAGGTCCCACTGGTAGACAGTGGCGACAGAAGAAGAATTCTGCAGCCTGAGTGTCTGTTTGACGGCTTCTCCTTTCCTGACAAAACCAAAGTTGAGTGTGGAGCTGGACAAGGACACCTTAGGACCTGGACACAAATATAAACCGCTTAAAGTTAACTTTAAGTTTAGAAAATCATTTGGATTTTTATTTGGCAGGTGGAAAAAGTCCACAAAGTCCACTGGTGCTCTCCTACCTGTACACCTTCCAGTGAGTTTAATCAATGTTTCGATGGGTGCACCTCTGCACTTAAGGGATAAGTACTCCACAGAAACATAATCTACAACCACAGGTGAGTATGTGACTCCAACTCGTTGCGATCCACCAGGTGGCACCTCACCGCTTGTGACATCACTGCTGAACACTGACCCCAACAACGACAAGCCGCCAGAGAGATGGGACAAAGAAAAAGCTGCAGTTACCTGGGGGAGAAAAAGAGAAAAAAAAAGTAACCTGCCTGACGTACAGTCACACCCTTCAACCTTCATCACTGAGTATAATTAGAGAGTGCCACTCACAGGTGAGGGGTTAAAGATTTCAAAGTGTTTCAATAAACTTTGTCCAAAACCAACAGGTCCAAAGAGCAGGACTGGATGTCCATGTTCTTTCTCATTTTCAGTCACTCCTGCCCCTCTCAGCTGCAGGCACGTGTTTTTGGCTGAAAGAAGACGCGAGACAGAACGCACGTCAGCATGTATTGACCCTGCGCCTAACGTTGTATCATGCAAACGCCAATGACGACAGGATGTAATGACAAATCAGTCATTATTGTCAAATCATTCTCATTTAAAACATCTATTCAATGGCCTCTGTACCCTGTCCCTGCAGGAGCAGAGTGCAACAGTTCTCTTCACGTCCTTCATCTCCAAAGTTGCAGGTCGCTGGTTTCTGGTACGACTGGGCTTCCTGTGGACGGAACACCACAGTCATCTGATACTCCTGGTCGGGGTTCAACAGGCCACGCTCAGGACTGAGCTGGAAAGGTGCCTCATATTCCCACCGGAACGATGTCAGGAGTTTACTGAATGTTTTGGATTGAATGGAAGACAGTGAGAGACGTAGACAGAAATTAGAGAAATATATTTTTAAAGTTAAATTAATTGTAGTTCATTCAGGACAGAAACATTAGGTATATTTGTAAATATGTGTAAACATCAAATTGTTAATGTTACATGATCTACTCAAATATTCTTTAGTTGGCTGCTTTTTTTCAGTCATGGTTAATATTTATTGTCAACAATTCTTTAGTTGGCTGCTTTTTTTCAGTCGTGGTTAATAATATTTATTGTAGTCAACAGGTCAACAACAATCACCAATACAACAACGTATTATTTGGAGTAAAGGGACACTCAGATGTGTGGCATTAATGTACTGCATATATGAATGTTTGTACCTGGCATTCTTCAGGAGAAAAGTAGTTTGTGACGAGTGCTGAACAGCACAGAGAGGGAGCGCAACAGTGTCAGGAACATCCAGGTCATGGACAGGAACAGGTGCCAAGAGGCGTACACGGAAGGTGCCATCTTTACATCGAAATTCTAATTTGTCCTCATACTGACACTGTCAAGAAACAGAAACAGAAACAGTTACAGATATACTCTCCACCATTCATGAAGTATTAGATACCACAACAACACAATACTAGCAGTAAAAAAAATGTTTAAAATGTGGTTTCATTTTAAGACAATTCTGTAAACGAATCCCATACATGATATTTTTACTATCACTGTTACATTATGAATAAGGTAAAAAATGTGAAAACACATTAGATTGTCGTTTAATTATATTATATATGTATATAAATACAGGCAACTATGAATATAATTGGGGCACTTATCCAAATAAAGGGTATTTAATTAACAACAGTATTTTATCTTCACTCAACAGGTCCAGGATAAGCTACATGCTACATGCTAAATGCTAGTAGCTGTGCGGCGCCTGGTTTCTGTCACTGTTGTGTTTCGGGTGGGAACAGTTAATCGCTTCAGTTCCGCTCTGCATTGGTTCACATCCGTGTCCGTGTCTCACCTTCTCTTTCGGTGTAAATGTAATTTGAATGGATAAAGAAGTCCCCGGACTGAGAAGAATGTCTGGAGCAATAGATGTAGTAAAACATTTGGACACTGGAGGTCTGCAAAGGACACAATGGGAACAATTTAGCCTGTATTTTTCTTTCTTTCTTTTAACACATTTTTTTTCCAATTAACCCATTAATCTTGTTATACCTGACATGAAGTCTGTGGAGCTTGTTCTGAATGTTCACTAACACTAAGGTTTTATTGTACTCCTTTCCCTCTTCCCAGTTCTGCCAAACAAGCTCTGGGTTCGTTTCTATGCCAAAGAAGGAGGTTCTTTTGCCAGATGGACGTTTTGGGAGTTTCCCAATCCTCCGCCTGGGGTCATTTTTAGGATCCTGTCAGGAGTAAAAGACACTTATTAATTACATATTTCAAATATCCTGATGTGTTGAACGTATAAGGAACGATGAACTGCCTCATGGCTTTTTTTAAACCATGAGCTGACGGTTTAATTTGAAACATGTTGTGGAATTTTAATTACGTGACTTTTACTTAAAAGAACATATAATTTATGTAGTGATTAAGTTAAATATTTTAAAGACCGATTCCAAGTAATACAAGTATTAGATTAAGCTCTGAGGGAATACCTGTCATTCTTACTGTAACCCAAAAATATATTTTGCATCGATAACAGTACAAGCTAAAACACATTGTTGTGATACAAGGAAACTATCAAAAAATATACAAAACATAGACTTTTAATTATTGCTTGAGTTAGAGGGGAAACACATTTTATTCATTATTCCTTTCCTTTCAATTATTACTTACAAGACCACAAAAAATCTCAAATATAAATTATGTCAATATTAAAAATGAGCGATTAATGTCAGTTATGGCGTTTGTCCTAAACCAGACCAAAAAACGTAAAGAAAAACTCTATGTTTACTGACTGAATCAAATGTGTGGTCGGTACCTACCCGTTGTAATGATGGATCGATGCCTAAAGCAACCAGACATCGGATTTTGCGTTTTTTCTCGGTTGACATGACTCGGAAAAATGTTATTCTATCACTTAACACGTAACAAAATCATTGTTCACCACGTGCATTTTATAAACAACATAAACACTAACTTCAAACTAGAGATGAGTATTACGTGCAAAACAACCCCTAAATATAAATATGTAAACTTAAATAAAAAACTAGAAAACGGCAAAAATGACGTTTACTTGTGGAAGCTACGTAAAGGTCACTTTTCCGTCAACATTTTCAAAGGAGTATTTTGACTTTTTGGTTGTCAGTCATGTTTCTATGGCAACGGGCGATTTGTTGTCGCGTCATTCGCTTCCGTTTTCCGGTAATGAGTCCACGGAAACTACCGCTGCCGAGAAGGGACAACGTTTCGCGAACCGTAAACTTTAAGATCACACGTTACAAACTCTATGTTCAAGAAACTTTTTATCAGTATTTACAGTTATTTGCTTCTTAAAGAGTGTCCCAAAAAAAACAAAAAAAAAAAACAGAACAGAATCACATCGTATAAAATTAATTGCACTCATCAACTTTAAATTATATCACAATTAAATGTAAAAAAAACCTATTAAAATATGCATTGGGTATATATATATTAAATTATATCATTTAAATTAAGTAAAAAAGCAAAATCAGAAGAAGGAAAATTATTTACAAAATCCAGGGAAACTGTCAGCTCCAGGATTCACACACTACATGCCAGCAATTATATTTGTGCACGTGTGTGTATGCAACATGCAGCTTCACAATGTTAACAAACCTATAACGCTATAATATTGTATATAACAATCACCTGAGTAGCATTTTTATATACCTGAAATTGTTAATTGTGTACATTCAAGGGTTCCTATGTTAGTTCAAAGATCTAATTATATCTAATTTAATATCTGACAAATTGTAACAGACCAAGAAGCACGAATAGTAATGTAACACTCCACAATCCTGATGACATCATCAAAGTTCACCCACCTCCCCTCATGAAAGTGCTGTTAGCCCCAACTTATGCAGCTCATTAGCCGTGTAATTATGTGTTTGACATCTAGTGTCATTATCCAATATCATTATAATAATTAGTTAATATTATTATTATTTTATTATTGGATGGTTTGAAACACAGCAGAACAACACACCAAATGCTAGAGTCGACTAAATCAAAGGTCTAAAGGAGGAAACCATGTGGTCCACGTGGACCTTCTTGTTTTTACCATGACAACAATTTGGGCTTGGCTTTGAACAGGTGGTCACATGTGGTCACTTGTGGCCCCCACATGGCCAACATGGACGCTGTAGTCAAACCCACAGGGGTTTTTAGCCCATTTTCCCACTGATAAATGCTGGCTGTGCAGGAATGAAATAAAAGTTTAGTTTTTATAACCTAAACAAAGTGCAGATGTTAACAATTCAAAAATCTTATGTTGTGAGAAATAAATTAACTTAATATTGATTAGTTTCTACATTTGCTGCCCCCCCTTCACCACCCACCCACCCCCACCTGCTCACTTTGGTGATGGTAAAACACAGAGGTGACGTTTCGTTGTTTGCAGTGGTGTTGCTGTGTCACCATGACATGAAATTCACTTTCACATTTACGGAGCTGTAAACACTAAAATACATTGAGAAAATGTGTCCAAATAGTTTAAAATGCCAGCGCCCCACATCTTGTTCTTGACCCCCTCCCCTCCTGTTGCTCCTCTGAATAAGTGCCGTACTTCCCCATTTCCCCTGCAGGGAGCCGTGTGAAGCCTGAAGAGCCTGAAGAATTTGCCCTCAGCTCTTCTATTTCCTCCTTTTCATCCTCCCCTTCCATCTCCTCCTCATCCTCCAGCCCTGAGCTGTTTGAGTCTCCGTGAGCCTTGGCATCGTTCACATCAATTTCATTTCTTTCAGCATCAGTTAATGAAATCACGGCTGCTTGTTCCTTGGCTTTACGACTCCGCTTCCACTTCATGCGCCTGTTCTGGAACCAGATCTTCACCTGAAGCAAAAATCAAATATGTGAGAAAAACAACAGTAAATGTAAATCAGAGTGTGTGTGTTTGTGTGTGTGTTTGTGTGTGTGCAGACTCACCTGAGTCTCAGTCAACATCAGGGAAGTTGCCACCTCGAACCGTTTAGGTCTGGACAGGTATTTGTTGACTTTGAACTGGTTCTCCAGCTCCAGCAGCTGCTGGCTGGTGAAGGCCGTCCTGGGTCTGCGACACTTCCCCAACAGACCTGCAGGGGCCGGGGCTGAGAGAGAGCACAGGAGCAGAGAGTTAGTTCATAGTTCATATGCATTTACTAGTAATACCATGATCATCAAGTATTGATTCAGGGTTAAATAACAATGACATTATTAATAATAACAAAATAAATAAACAACAACGATATAATAATAACAAAATAAATAAACAACAATAATCTTAATTATTATTATTATTATTGTTACCTTATTAATTATTATTATTATTGTTATTACTATACAGTATAAGAATTAGAGCCAGATCATTTTGGGCATTAATTTAAACCATCTATATTAACTGGACTAACGTGTGCAGATTTCATGAATGCCACCAATCCACCTGCCTTCCTGCCCGTGAACATTTATTGCCCTGATGTAAGGTGAGAGGATATTGCTTTGCGGGAGTAATAAACCACCGCACGGGTCCATTACTTTAATGAAACCACTATAAACGTTATCAATTGATTAAGTGGAAGATCTGCTTCAAGTGTTAAACCGTCGCCATAAATGCTGCTCAGTGTTTTAATGAAATAAATTGTCCTGCGGTGACCCGGTATTTCAATGTCACGATTCCTAATGTATCGATCCATACAATAATCACAGCAGTCAAACACAGATAAGTCCAGACGGTTTTATTAACCTAATAGAAGAGCATCATAACTTAACTCACTAACTTAACTCACTAACTTAACTCCTCCTCTCACCTCCGTACTCCCCAAACTTAGGCATCATGAATCCAGCTCTGATCCAGGGCTCCAGTCCCGGGACAGTCCCGCTCAGGCTGGGCCCCTTCAGGTGCTCCGGGTACGACTGTAACAACTGCGTAAAGCCAGGGTACATCAGGGCGGGGTGGTGGCCCCCCAGGGCTGTCAGCGGGTACATGGACCCCGGGTGCATCCCGATGAGACCTCCTTGGTGCAGAGCAGTGAACCCGGGGTGGGTTTGGAAGTTTGGAGAAGAGAGCCGGGCTTTGGATAAAACCCCCGCCGGAGTTGGACCCGGGACGGTTTGGTTTGAGAGAGGGGAGGGAGTCTCTGAGCCGCGGGTTGACACCGGACTGTCCCCGGGACTTCTGCTGAAACACAGTCCCGGGGACGCATCGCCGCCGTCCGCCCTCTGCTGCGCGTCGTGCGCCAACAGCGCGTCAATGCAAAAGTTCTTGGCTTTCTCCAGAGAGGAAGTCATTCTGTCCGCGGAGAATCTGGGTTTCCTGCTGGAACTCTGAGTGAAAACTGCGCAGTGGTGTCACTTTAGTTCGGCTTCTCCTTCCTCCTTCCGTCTCACCTACTGCACTCCTGCCGGGAGAGGAAACACTTCATTCTACGACAGTTGGCAGAAGAGCAGCGAAGGGCAATAAAGTCTGCTGCACGCTGATTGGCCAGTGCCCTGCACCACAGGGGCAGGAAGACGAAGGCTGTCCTCTCTACTGAGGTGATTTGTTTGCCCCGTGGTGACAGGGGCATCAGGGCATTTACTGTGGAAAAGATATCTAAAAAAAAGAGAGAAAAAGTCGTGAACATGTTAAAAAAAATACAAATAAAAAAGCGTAATATTAAGAGAAAACAATGTTCGTGTATGTGAGTTAATGTTATGAGAATTTGTTATGAAATATTACATGATATTTCATGCAACATTGTGATTTTATTTTCCTAAATTTATAGCCTTTTGTCCCAGGTTAGAACTTTTTTTAAGTAATTTTATTTATTTATTTTTTGTCATAATAAAATGACACAAAAGATACAAAAAGAGAAAAAAACGAAACAATTTTTTTGGGAAGGAAATATGTGTCGTCCTATTATATAAAATATGTTTTTTTATTGGTTTTTTCTTTTTAATATAATGAATGTCATGTCTCATAACTCTTTATTTGGAAGTAGACGTAGATTCTGGTTTTTAATTTTAACTCTCACTCTCTCTCACTGTGGACCTTTACAACCACAGTGTGTTAATTACTGTGCCCTCACCTCGGAGACATAATAAAAGCCTTGGTTTTACATTACACTGGAGGTTATTGCCTGCTCAGGTTGACAGAAACCCAGCGGCTCTTATCAAAGCCTGTTACGATTATGGGTCATCATTACACCACCGGGCGGGTAATGGGCCAGTAAAATGACAGAGGGTGAACTTGTCTTCTGTCTGTCCCGGATCAGAACAGATGACTGACATGCAGTTCTGTGAAACGGCCACACGGCTCAGTACAGCACAGTTGATGGATCTGTTTTTAAACCCAGTTTATATGAACATTTCTACAGTGTTTTTTTGTTTTTTGTTTGATTTTCTAATGATAAGACCAAAAGAAGAAAAAGATGATGTTTGATGTTCAACATAGGGTCCGCAACCCCTGGGGGTCCCAAGAAGCATAAAAAAAAAACGCAACCCCTGGGGGTCCCAAGAAGCATCAAAAAATATGCAATAAAAACATAACTCTGTGAAAGTGTGTATTATTTAAGAAATTATTAAATGAAAAACAACCAAGTACATTCACACAAGCCCCCAGACCCGTGTCAATACATTTATTACGGTGACCCCGCTCCTTATCTTTGTCAGTCTGTTTTTGTAGTGAGTGAAAATGGACTCTTAATCAAATGAACCTTCAAAGGCAAAACAAGTTGGAAAAAGCGGCCGACGCTCTCTAAAAACACCATGAACTTCTCTGTCGGACAGAGTGCTGTAGAGTCAACAACAGTTTGGTGATTTACTGCATGGATTGGATGATTTACTACGACGGAGCGGCTGATAGACACAGCCATGAGCCTGGGAAAACAAACCCTCCTTCAAAGGCAAACAGCAACACCTGCTCAAGTACCCAACCTTCAGAGTCATTGGTCACTGGCTCTCTCTGTGTGTGTGTGTGTGTGTGTGTGACCAGGTGTGCACGTGTAATCAACATGAACATGAACATGATGGAAATCATTAGATTCAAATGAGTTTCTTCTGTTAATGTTCTCCTGCCTGGCTCCTCACGCTGGTTCTTCTTCTTCTTCTTCTTCTTCTTCTTCACTCCAAGAACAGGGAAGTCATTAAACCACAGGTCAAAGGTCGTGGATTTCTACACCTCCTTATTAATAATAAACTCAACGTTTGAGTTTTCATGTAATGATATTATTCTTTTCAATCACCTTCTTTCTTTTCAGATAAGCTGCACCAAAAAAAGACGGTGTCGTAAAATCCTGCTGTAAAATAATTAGTCCTGTGTTAGATAAGAGAGAGGAAAGATATAAAACCCCTTTAATGAAGTTGGTACAATATGACAATACTGCAGTATCTGAGTACAAATATCACATCTTTTACTGATAAGGTGGTGCAGATAAAGAGGAAGCACACGGCACTTTCACACCACTGAGGCTCCGCAGCTTCGCCGACGATACTGTCCTTTATATTCACGCTCAAATTGCTGGATCAACAGTTGTTCATACAGTCGTATCATTTACCGGCTCATAAACAGATGGTAATAACTGATACTTTGTACTGCAGTAATATACGGACACAATGAAGGCAGTAGAGTTCAGAGTCAAAATACAGTATATCAAATGAATACATGACTTAGACGTAAGAAGTTGTTTGGATCAAATATATAAATATATATGTATATTTTAAATTCTGGACAAACTCATGACCTACTTCTGCGTTAAACTTAATTTCTTTCAAAACATTTTTTTCCTGATTACCAATACACTATTTAGGAATGTTTATTAATGAATGAACCATAATTAACTGTGATTGATCTGCGACCAAACCCTAACCCTCTGATTAATCAGATAAAAGATTGAAACTGTTCCTCAGTTCACAGGCCAGAATATGTGCTCGGAAACGTCCTTACGTTTTTGTAACAAAGGCAAAATGACGTTTAATTAAAAATAAGTCCAGGAGGCGACGACGACATGACCGTTTATTTCAGTCTGAGTCGTAAACGAACCAACACTGGTTCAATAATTCATGTAACTGAGGCAAAAGGTTTGAGTTCAGTACTGTAGGAGGAAATACTTTTTGCCCAACAAGGCAGTTCATACCACCTAGAAGGACCAACAGTGTCTGTAATTATGACTCCATTTGATTTCCCGTCCAAAGGAGCCGTGACGATGAAGATTAGAACATTCAGAGTGTTAGTAAAGGAATGATGTTTCCCTGGAGACGTGAGAGGCCCGAGAAAATCCCTGCACATATACTGGCCCACTTGTTCTGTGTGTGTGTGTGTGTGTGACCTATTGTAGAACGTCACCCAGGTTCTGCTGCCGTCTCTTTTGTTGCACCAATTGTCACCCTCCAAAGACCTGCGGGGACAGAACACTTCCTGGTTGTGCAGGAGTGGGTGTCGAGGGTTGCAGGGTTCATCGTTGTTCAAAACCAGTTGATTAATGAAAGCTGTCACAACGGAGACCACGACATAATGAGGAGAACATGAGGGAGGAGTCGAGGAGGAGAGAGTGGGGTGAAGAAGGGGAGGCGAGAGGCGGGGAGCTGAGATTGGATGATTATTAGCTACAATAGTAAACAGTGAGATGACAGTAGAATGTAATGAGGTCTGAG